TGTATTATAGACTTCATCTCTAACAGTTCCGTTTGAGTCTTTTGTAAAGTGTGTAATTCCTCTCTTAGATCTTGCAAGAATTTCCTCATCTCCTGGAACTCGTCAACTTCTTTCTCCTTTCCCTTTAGCAGTTCATTATCTCTCTTCTCTTCCATCTCTGTTAGCTTCGACATTATGAATGTTCTAAATTCCTTATCAGACATTTCCATTATTTTCACTGAACTGCTTGTGGAAGAAGAAGTGTTACTCTTTTCCCTTGGAGGAGAGGTATTTTCTTGTTTTCCCATATTTCTTGTGATCCAGCAGTGATTTCTTGTCATCTGATGGATGGTGTGTTTCTTTCAAATTCTTGAAATTCAGTCTGAATGTTCAGGAGCAAGCGGACAGAGGTGATCTAGAATCTCGTTGCCGTTCTGTTGTGATCGCTGTTGCAGCAGATTCAGTAGATAGTGGGGAATATTTTAACCCAATTAGTATTTGGATGTTTAGCTAAAGTGCTCTTAGATCCTTCTAGTTCACAGTAGCCATGTGGAACCTTCTTCTGAAGGCCTGGCTTCTTCTGCCGCTAGCTTGTTTGCTGGAGGCTCAATTATCAGTAGAAAGTCTTCATTTCTCTTGTGCCCTGCAATACCTAGTTCACAGGAGCCACGTGGAACCTTTTTCCTGAAAGGGTTTTTTCATGATCCGGTCTAGGATGGCAGCGTGTGACCCTGGGGACTGTCTCTCTCAGCACCTTTCCCTCCTGTCCCCAGACATGGCTTGGAGCTCCTTCTCAATAGCTACTTCCAATTGATTAGGGCTGGCACTTAACGCCCTGAAATGTCAGGCTCACCCTCTTTATTATTGCAAATGGGGAAACAGCGGCCTAGAGAGGAACCTTGACTTGCCCAAGGCCTCACAGCCAGGGAGTGACAGGGAAGAGTAGAACGGGAAGGTCTTTCTGTCTCCTTGTCTTTTTCCTAACTCTGTGCCCTGCTCATCACCCTGATTCTAAAAGGTGCTCTGAAAGGATGGGCTTCTTCCTGCATGATAGACAAAATGGGGCCCTCTGAGAACACTGTGTTCCAGTTGGCATGTGCGAGGCCTGGCTGTGGTCATTTTTCTAGGGTGAGGTAGACGGCAGTGTTAGACACTGCCTGATGTCCAGCCATCCGCAGGTGAGCTCGTTCTCAGGAAGGCAGAGGCTGTGTCTGGGAAGCCTAAGTGATGGAGAGAGGCCTGCAAAGACACCTGCCCCTGCTCCCCTAAGCAGGAGTGGGCCCGGGAACAAGGGCACAGAGACCTGTCTGGGGGCTGCGAACGGGCCGACCGTTCTGCAGTGCCTCACCTGGTATATGCAGCTCAGCAGGCTAAATGGAACCTGTGTGCACAGGTTCATCTGGAAACCTGGGAGCTCACTGACCAGCAGCCTCAAGCTAGCAATTCCTACTGGCCGTTATGGAGTTGTCCCTGTCCCTTGGGTTTGTATTGCTAATCTCATTTTGTCTTAAGGCATGCTCAAGCCATGTTTTGCTTTTCTGTGAGACAAATCAAGGAAGACTGTTCACGAGTTGAATACAACCACTCAAAAGAAATGAAAAAATAATGCCAAACTTTTTTTTTTTTTTTTTTTTTGTCATAGGACGTGTGTGCGCACTGGAGAGAGAGAGAGAGACAGTGAGAGGGAAAGTGAGAAATCACTACCTGGGGAATGGCCACACTGCAATCCTTTCTTCTCTATTCTCCTCCTGAGATCTTAGGTACACATGCCTGGTGTGCGTTTCAAGTCATTGGGTCTGGGACTCGAACTGTGGTCGGCCATATGGGAGTCCAGTGATGTAACTTCTATGCCATCTGCTGGCCCCCAAAACTATTCTTAACCAACCAGTGACATTGATCTGGATGAGAAGCTCTTCTGTAAGCAATGAGCGTGTGACTTCTAACAAGCCACAGGAGAAAGGGCTTCCTAGTGCCATGGACCTGCAGAGGGCTGGCCTGTTCTATTCTATATCTGAGCAACTTGGGCTCAGAGAGGTGAAATAACTGGTCCAAACTGCCCCTTCTGGAAAGAGACAAAGCCAGGACTTGACTTGAGGTCTCTGTAGGCCACACTTTATCTACAACGCAGTTTTACTCCCAGCAGTCTCGGCTTAGCCAGTGGTTCCAAGGCAGAGGTGGTTCTTTGCCTTCCGATGGGAATCCTGCCACACAGCTCAGGCAGCCCTCCCTGCTTGCCCGGGGTGCCCACCGTCATGATTCTCCACTCTCCTCTGTGTGGAATGGTTTCCTACTTACCACGGGCCTCTCCGAGCCAGGAGTGCAGGAACAGCATGGAACCCTAGAGACAATGTGCCCTCTCAGAAAAATGAAAGCCCTTTAAGGCCCCTGTTGTTGAGCCAAGACCAAGTTCTTTAAACTTCCTTCCAGTGCACTCCTCCCCGCCCCCGAGTCTTTGGGTAGAGCCTGCCCGTCTCCCTGCCTCTGCCCCGCTCCTGCCCCCGAGTCTTGGCTGAGGTTGTGCCAGGACACAGTGGCAGCTGCCTGGACTGGGTGTGGTGGCTCTACCCTCAAGGGCTTCCTCTGTGGCACATCTCCAGCCCTGCGCTGGGTCTGGCTCTGACGGGCCAAACCAAACAGATACTTCCTAAGCAAAGGAATCTGTGGAACTCCTTTGTCCCTAGCTTAATCTGGGCACTGAATGTCCATTGATGGAGAGACAAGATGCCTACCATCCCCTTAGCCAAAGCAACGCCCCATGTCTTCCGTGTTCCGTAGGGAGCGGGCCAGAGCCCAGGCAAAACCAGGCCAAGTTTCTGAGACTGGTCCCTTCTCCACCTCCCTTCTGTGCCTGACACCTGTTCATCCAGGCTGCCCTACATCTTGTGCCTTCTAGCAAATGTTCTTACCCTACAACTTCCCTGCCTGTGGACCGGAGTGGTTACGCCTGGGAGCACACCCATGGGACATGCATGTGAGGAACCAGTGTTTCCAAAACTTTCGTAGTGCTCTTTTCTTTTTGAAGAATTATTCATTTAGGGACTGGCAGGTGGCATGATGGTTAAGAGCACTGGACTCCCATATGGCTGACTACAGTTCGAGTCCTCTCTCTCTCTTTCTCTCTGTCTCTCTCTGGTCAAATTAAAATAAATATATAAATAACTAAGTAAATAGATAAATATCAATATAATTTTTATTTGTTATTATTATTTCTTAATTTCACAGAGAGAGACAGAGAGGGAAAGTGAGAAAGCAAGCTGCCAGATCTGGGACTTGACCCATGGTCAGCCATGTGGGAGTTAAGGTCAGTGCCTTAACCACTATGCCACCTGCCAGCCCCTTCACAGTGTTTACACAGAAGGGCCTTGAGTTCTGCCTTTGAGTTTGCTGGTTGGAGCTCTGAGGGGTGCAGGATCTCCTAGAGCTGGCAGACCTAGATTCCAGTGGTGATTCTTATGAACTGTGCAGTAAAAGTTGGAAAGTTTCCTCTAGTTCCGTCGTTGCTTTGAATGATTCCACAATCTCCCTGAAGGGCAAGGTAATGCGTTAGGTCACCTGTGCCCTACCTGTGACTGGTGGGTCTAGCAGGAGACCAGGCCCATCCCCAAAGCCTTTCTGTTGGCATGAAGAGTTTTATTAACTCGTTAGAAAGAATAATGACTCTGGAAAGAATATTAGCAGAGTCTTTGCACCCTCATACTTGGACTTCCCAAGGAGAAAAATTGCTTTTTATTTCCCTAAAGGAAAGAGCATTCTTGAGCGCAAACTGGGGACACAGAACAAGTTCTGGTCTGGAGTGGGCCATGTGGGTGCCCTGTACCTGGAAGCCGCCTGCTGCTGCCGTGGGCACTGACAGCATGGGTCAGGCTCTACCCATTGCCTACCACGTCCCCTGCACCCAACCTGGCACAGTTGGTGCCTGAGCGACAGGATGAATGGGACCACCCTGAGGATGGGAGGAGGGCAGAGCCCAGGTGCAGTGTGGAGGACAGCGCAGAGGAGCCCGCACTTGGTGATTGTCCCTCACCCCAAGTCAGCATCCAGAGTGGAGTCAAAGTCGAGGTTTTGGTATAAAGACAATTTCTCCGACTGGGCTGGTTCTTCCCTGACAATGTCTACTGTTGTAAATTCAACTACAGGGCCAGACAGTAGTACAGCGATAAAACACGGGGCTCTGTGAGGCAATTCCTCAAGACGGTTCTGGGTTCTCATCCAGAGCCCTCCCCGAGTACGCTGGGTGTGGCTTACTTATGATCTGGGGCAGGTTGAAGGTTGGGGTCTTTTGCAGCATTGAGACCCTGTTGGGGGGGGGTGCTGTCTCTCTCTCTCATTCATGGAATGAATGAAAACACTTAAAAAATAATCATTTATTTATTTTAAAATGTGTTATTATTATTTTTTAATTTGATCAGAGAGAGACAGAGAGAGATTGGGAAAGTGAGAGAGGAAGTTGTCAGGTCTGGAACTCAAACCGTGGTCGGCCTGTGGGAGTCCAGCACCTTAACTACCATGCCACCTGCTAGCCCCCAATAAATGCAATTTTAAAAAAGTATTTAAATTCAACTTGAAGCAAACCTTTGTACTTATCCTGGGTACAAAACAAAAACAGGAGTCAGTGAGGTGAGACCCTGGAGTTGGAGTCCCCTGTTCAAGTCCCAACTGTGCTCCTCTCTATTTATAGAACCCCAAGTGAGTCCCTTCTCTCTGGGCCTCAGTTTCCCATCTGTTTAGCGGGGGCCTGGACCTTCCCCCAGGTCCCTTTGCACTGTCAGTCTAAGGCTCCTCATGCTTCTCTCCGGCAGATTCCACCAACGTGGCTTTCACCATCTCCATGCTGCTGGGCAACCTCAACTGCTGCTGCAACCCCTGGGTCTACATGGGCTTCAACAGCCACCTGTGGCCGCGCCCCCTGCGTCGCCTTGCCTGCTGCGTGGGTCCCCGGCCCCGGGTGCGCAGGCAGCTCTCCAATGGCAGGCTCCCCCGCCCCCGC